AGGGTAGCTAATCAGTGGCCACCCCGAAATAATTGCCCTAGCGCAGCTACTCAGTCATGCCCAAATGAATTGCCCTAGGGCAGCTACTCAGTGGCCACCCCAAAATAATTGCCCTAGGGCAGCTGCTCAGTGGTGAAACCTGAAATATGTTCCCTAGCGCAGCTGCTCCAGAGTGCCCCCCGAAAAAAGTGCCCTAGGGCAGCTACTCAGCAGCTCCCAAAAATAATTGCCCGAGGGCAGCTACCCAGTGGCCACCCCGAAATAATTGCCCTAGGGCAGCTACTCAGTGGTGTCCCCAAAATATTTGCACTAGGCAAGCTGCTCCAGAGTGCCCCCGGAAACAATTGCCCTAGGGCAGCTACTCAGTCAAGCCCAAAATAATTGCCCCAGGGTAGCTACTCAATAGCACCCCCAAATGAATTGCCCTAAGACAGCTACTCATTGGAGCCCTGACATAATTGCCCTGAGGTAGCTACTTAGTGGCACCCCCGAAATAATAGCCCTAGGGCAGCTACTCATTGAAGGCCCAAAATAAGCTTCCTAGGGCAGCTACTCAGTGGCACCCCTGAAATAATTGCCCTAGGGCATATTCTTAGCGCAATTCCCCCCGGACATTATTCCTGTGACACCCCATGACCTTAGGGCGGCTATTCAGTGGCACCTTTAATAAAATTGCCCTAGGGCAGCTACTGAGCGACACCCTGGAAATAATTGCCCTAGGGTAGCTACTGAGCGACACCCTGGAAATAATTGCCCTAGGGTAGCTACTGAGCGACACCCTGGAAATAATTGCCCTAGGGCAGTAAATGAGTGGCACCCTCTTTTTTTAGGCTGAGGGCATTTCCAGCGAGTACAGAGGGATACCTGCAGATCCTGATAGAAATCCAGTGTGCTTGTGACCTCCTGAACCATGTGATCAGCTGTCCAACCCCTCCTCCTCCTCCTGTAATGGTGACAACGCTGCGTCTCTATACAGTACAGCCAGCGAGCGTTGTCACCCCGGCACAGGAAGTGTGTTAGAAATAAAAAAGGGAAAACTAACGCAGCCGCCGCCTGTAAGCAGGAAAATCTTCAATCTATGAAATGTTTTGTTCTCGGGTTTAGCTACAGAGAGACGTTCTGATAACAAGCGGGCTGTTGCTGAGACTGGAACGGAGTGCGCGGATTGGCTGATTTCCCTGCAGACAACGGAGCCGATGACAGAACATGGCAGGACGACCTGACTCTCCGGAGCGCGCGGGGGCGGCGGATGCATTTCGATGCGTCCCGGACATGTTGCAAAGTGGAAGCTAAAGGGCCCCCGGCCGCGGTTTATTGCGGACCCGGGGGGTGGTATGTGGCCGCCATTAAAGAGAACCTGTCACCCTAAAGGGGTCTACAAAGTCCGCCGCAACCCAAAAAAAAAACAAAAAAACCAAATTGGTTAATTTGAGCGACAGCTCTCTGAGATTCCCATACAGGCGACTCAGACTCTGCGGTCCCCTCCTCGGAGGCGCGCTCGCCAGGGGCGGCCCGGCGCCAGGCGGGTTAAATCAGCACGAGACGAGAAAAACACATTTATTTCCCTCGTTTCTATGGCAGCGAAATTGTTTTTAAACGGGCGCCATGGCAACTGCACCAGCCATCACAAACTGTCGCTCGACC